TTGTCTACGGATAGACCATTTAATCCGCCATTAAATTTGACTTTCCAGTTAGACATTATCTGCAACACTTTGTCAGGCCTAGAATTGAGGTCAGTTGAGACGGAATTATTATAGGAGGAGGCATTTAGGGCCGAAAAGCCATTGCTTGGTGGGGGTCTATTTTGAGCACCATTTCGTTGTTGAGTGTGAGGTGTAATGCCAAACAACTCACGGAAGGTACGGCCCTCAACAGCTGGCAAGGTTTGCATTTGTTGAGGTGATGTATGGTGTTGTTCAGGTTGAACAGGCGAATTAGATGACATAAGTCTTGATAAGCTCGCGGCTATTTGGTTCTCAATTAGCTGACTCATCTGTGCACCTAAAGTAGCTATAAGCTGGGGCTGTTGTGAGGAAATAATGTTAGTTACCAATTGGGTAATTCTCTCCGTTTGTGCCACGTCCGTAGCATCAGAAGGATCATTGTTAGGATTATTATCTCGACTAGTAACTGACTCGGAACCAACCGGATTATTTGTTGCCCTTGACTGAGATCTAGTTTGAACTTGTGATGTACTTGGCGTCTTCTGTTCTGACACAATACGCATGTTGCACACTGGACAATAGGGTCTGGTTTTTACGCATCTATCTAGACAAGTTTTATGGAAAATATGACCACACGAAATCTTTTGTGCAGATACAGTCGAAACAATAATTTCTCCACAAGCATTACACAAAATATTATTATCTGCCCCCAGTGGGACAGAAGTTGTTTCCCCAGTATTGGTTGCCATATTTAATATAAATCGAAAAAAGTGTGTACGCCCTTGGGAGAGAGATAAATAATAAATAGTCGGTGAAAATTTTAATAACTGCAGAGCAATTAATTATACAACCCAAGGGATGAAGACTTCCCAAAATAGTTGATCTCTTTAGAACTCTCTGAAGCGTATGTATCACCAGGCAAAGATTTATTGCAATACATAGATTTGTTCAACTGATTTTTCGTTTTTTTTTTTCCCAAATAAAGAAAAATTCCGAAATGGTTGAAATAAAATTCAGTTGCAATAAATTTATAATTAATATGTATATGATTTAAACAAGAGCAAGATCCCGTTAATTTTTAAAGGTATTACCTTAAAGTTTTTTTTTTATCTTCAAGTTTTGCATAAAATCGCAATAACTTGTGCACAAAAAAAAAATTAAAAACAAATAATTTTCCTGTTTGATTATCCAGAGGTTCATAAGTATGCCAAGTGATTCGAAAAAATACTAATTTAATACTGACCAAGAACAAATACATAAATAGAAAAGAAAGATCATAATAAAGGACCATACCGGATGGAATCACAATTGTTCCAAAATCCAGGCGATGGCATTTAGAAAATGTTAATACCTTCGTTGTAACTGTGGTCAGATCCAGCACAAGTGACCAGAAACTGTTTTCCTTCCAATTACTTAGAAAGTTATTAAGACAAACTTGAAGGGAGATCAAATACAAAGTAGGCTGCAAAAAAATGAAGATTGCATTCTTGATTCTTAGCAACATCCTTACAATGTTAAGATCTCAAAAGTTGCGAGCACGAAGAGAATAGGAAAGAGAAAAGGAAGAAATAAACAACATAAGTGAGCCGAATTAAAACTGAGTTAATAAACAGAATAGGTGGTACAGAAATAGTGACTTAATTCGGGCCTCACGTCTGGGCGCCAAAAATAATTTATATGTAGCATATAACCAATAATAGGATTTCTTTGACAGTATTAAGAAGCTAGTGCACGTATCTAAGACCGGTCTACTAGCTCGTCGGGGGGTAGGTTCGGTGCTTCTCTAGCTCTATATATGGCTACATTAAATTACTTTAGTTTATACGTGCAAAAAGAGATGTTAGAACAAAGGAAAGTAACTATATGGTTCATTGGTACAATATCACTGTATAGACGTGTCGGTCTCATTCCGTCTTTGCTGCCCTCCCAACCTAGCCATATAGAGATGAACCAGAATCAACTTTGTTCATATGACCCAAGATAGAACGAATCAGTGGCCCACCTACTTAACCATCAGGCAATCAAACAGGAATACTGAAGTATTATGCCATATCCATTATAAATTTATTGTCTAAATATTAAAGGCTACTTTATAACTAGGTTCAATAACTAACATGATTATTTCAATGAATCTGTGTAATTAATTTAAATTTAAGAACTTAAAATTTGTTAAAAATACAAATTTTAAAGAGAAACACTAAAATAATAAATCGATATCTCTGCATAATTCTAATTCCGGGGTATTTACCCACTCTATTGTATTTACACGCTTTACACAAAAAATATCACCCAAAGCAGAATGTAATATTATGGATACAAAGAGAAACAAATAATACTCACGATTTACATACCATCCACAATAATGCTCCAACGTTGAAAGGCCTTTCTACGATTGCTTGCAGTGGTTGCTGTAATTTCTAACAGGATAGCAATAATTTATGTTAACAGAGTTATGTGCTTCTCTTTTGCTCTGCTGTAGAAAATGATGATATTAAATATGCAAGGCAATGATCATCATTATTGACTGCAGAGAGATCGATGTTAAATTGTTACAAGCAAAATAAGGTAACCACACAACTGCTAGCATGAGATGCTCAATGCAGAGCCACGATATGTATGTTTGTCACCCGAATTTATGTTGTGTTGTGTGTTTATCGAGCTTTGCTTGAATATGTGAAACGCGTTTGCAATCACTGATGATAGTACACCAGTGGTTATAATTGAAGTTTTAGAAACAAAATAGAAACGTTAATTAAGAATTAATTGAATGAAATAATTAAAAGATAGCTTTTCTAGTATACTTCGGACTGCGCCTTTGTTGTTAGGTCCTGGGTTTCTTAGATTTTCCGGATTTAACACACAATTCGGTATCTTGTTGGATACTGCAAGAGTAGTTTATTCTCTAGTTTCAACCAAACAATCCAAAGGCAATAATGATGGTTTTGAATCACTATTTGTCACTATTTGTGATACTGCACCGGGTTTGGTTGGTTAAATTATGATGTAATTATGCCTTGCTTCCACTTGTTGCCGACCAACGTAACTGACTAGATCAACGTGTTCACTGACAGAGTTTCGGCTCTACACTCTGCTCTTAGATTGTGAGCAAAGAACAGACGTTACTTGTTGGTTTTGTTGGATTACTTATTCCTCGTTCAACAATTACAATGAAGGTTTGGTACTCAGTGCCAATCTTGATAGTAGTAAAAAAAAAGAGAAGGGCAAAAATAAAATTTTGTGTTCTCCTTTTTCTACAAGTTTTAAGATTTTAAACTCACCGCATATGCGAAATGGCACTCAGTTTAATGGGTAATTATCATTAAACGCAAGTCAAGATAATGATGATTTGGATTTTAAAATGAATTTAAACCATTTAACTATTTAAATTAGCAATGGATAACTTGCCAAGAGTATATTAAATTTGGCTGTGATATATTACCAACAGACTTATATTAATCGTTTGATATCTGATAAAATCAACTGTCTTGGGCGAACTTATCAACGGTACGTGGAACAGCAAAATGGCCGAGTAAAGCACCTCTCAAGATAAAGAAAATTCTGCTTTAGCTAGAGCAGACAGCTATTCCAGTCTACTAGCAATAAGCGGCGAGTTAGCAGGGATATTCTAATCGATTTACGTAGAAACACTTCAACAATAGATGTCGCTGTCAGTTAATTATCTCTAAATTGGTATAATTTTATGAAACCCTAGTTATCATGAATTAAGTTCAAGGTACCCCTTACAAATATCAGTCAACTAAATCAAGTTCCTCCCCCTCATAGGGTCAAAATTGTATATTATAACATTTATAAAATGTGATGTAAGGGTCCGATTGTTTTCAAATTACACACATCACAATATTTTTATTAACCCTAGGTCTGGTGTGAAGATGGAATATATCGGTCCACTCCTTTTGATACCTCTCCTCATGGAGCTCATAAAACGCGAAATTAATATCCGATTCCATTCAAACTTGGCACATCTCAATATTTGCATGAACACGAGATCTTTTACATGCTTAAATTCGAAATAAGCATCCGTTTCCCTTCATATTTCGCACTAACACAATATCTGCTGAGAATATTGGATATATCGGTCCTCTCGTTCTGGTACCTCTCCCACAAAGGGACAACATTGCAAATATCCAATAAGTTCATAAAACGCGAAATTAAAATCCGATTCCATTCAGACTTGGAACAATAGGGTTCAAGAAAGAAAGAAAGAAAAAAAAAAAAACAAAACAAACATCCAACTCTCTTCAATTTTCCTAACACAAGATCTGTTGTGAACATGATCATTTATATCTGTGAACCCCTTCTGAAACCTCACCTCACCAAACATATAAGGTGAAGGAAGGAATATTGTCCAAACCTGGCACGTCCCAATATTTATATTATATTTATTTAGGTCCAATACGAAATTGACAATTTTGGTCCATTCTTTCGGAACCTACTCCATAGAGGGTCAACAATTTGAATAATCACAGCAGAAGTCAAAATATATTTAAATAATCGAACATTAGCTGAGGGTATACATCTGTCGGCAAAACGGATTGATACTTTTTAACTTGCTTCTTTTTTTCTCTAAAATAGAATCGTTTTAGGATATAGTATAAATGTACTAAGAGTATATATGAAAGATGTTGGCAGCTCGTTAAAGTATGCTATAAAAATGTGAAATATAAAATATGAAAAAGTCGCTTCACATATGACTCTAATATAATGTGTGATCGGGCCTTTAGAGGGGTGTCCGTAATGTTTCATATGACTATTTTAAGCTCACCTAAGAACGGTATTGTTTAAGTTTTTAATCAAAACGTACCAAATATCTACAATTGTCATTTTTCGGTTCATATTGAGAAAATATTCACTTCTATAATTGAGTTCGATTATTTTAAATAGCTAGTAATTTATACAAATGGCAAATTGCTTTCCATTGATGTATTCTAGTACATTGCATCCATTAAATTTCAAATTAAATCGAAACTGCTGGGCATAACGTCAAACGTCCTTCGAAGTGGCAAACATCCCCTAGGCAGTGCGCAGAATCCCAAATTGGTCTTGTCAATTATGTTTGTACTCTGTTTTCTTTTCTTCGATGGTGTACTAAAAGAGGAACACAAATCTACAATCAATAAAGCTTTACCTTAGTCTACGTACACCTGAGCGAAGTAAGGAGCAAAGCGGACATAGCAATAATAAACTCCGCAGAGTCTTGTTTTGTGTTCACTACTTGTTGGTTTTGCCCCAAGAAAAACCACACAACTTGGATGCATTTCTGAAGCGAGGAGGCCCAAAAGAAAAGCCCAACAGCATTGAGACTTCAACGACGCCAACATCGAGAGACCATCATAGCGGTTCGCTATGAATACAGTGCCAAATCATGCTTTCATCGAGGTGCATGCCCTGCATCCTCATCATCAACATCAACCCCATTGCAAGCAACAGTGCTTTGTTTTCACTGAAATAGCGGATATAGTCGAACTACCCCCCGAGATAACGAAAATTGGCAGTGAGAAGGTGCAAAATGGAGTGGTCATATCGCCGTATACCACGAGTAGCAAGGATCCATGTGGTGGGTCGTCAACGGGCATGGAGTCGCCCATCGACTCGGAGACGAAATCTTCGCGGAGTAAACGAATTCTCATTGTCTTGGCCATAATGATGGTTTGTATTGCAATGGCGGGCGGAATACCATTAGCCTTACAGCTGCGGCAGTCCTCGCTGTTAGGTAAGCATCAAGTGGGAGGGAACGTAGCAAAATACATGTATTAACAATATATTTTTTATTTGCAGAGGCCCGCTTGGCTTTCATAAGACGTTTGCTCAGTGAGGCGCCCTTGATAGAGGGCTCTTGGGCGCCAACGCGAGACATGAACTACAGCAGTAGTATGCGAGAAATGCGACAAAAATATGTTGGGGCCGTTCTCTGGCCCATAGCAGTTCCGTGTGGAGCTCAATATTTGGATGCTGTACAACTGGCATTGGAGGGTATCGACGAGGCTAGACGAATAACAGCTGTCACCGATTCGATGCATATTGTCGAGTCGGCTGACGAAATGGAACAAACACATATCAGGGGAGAAGTTGCCGTGCTGATGGGCCTGGGCGGTGGCCACACGTTGGGTACTAGTTTGGCCGTTTTAAGGTCAATGTATTTGTTGGGTGCTCGTTTTGTTTCCATCACCAGTTTGGAGTGCACAACGGCATGGGCAGCATCGACCAAGAATCTAGATTATCTTATGGAATCGAATGCCACAAATTCAATTAACGATTTTGGAAAGGTGAGTTTAGGGACGATGCAGCGAGGGGTTGCAGTTGGTTATGCAAAATGTCTAGCGTATGACATTAGTCATCAGTATGCACCCTAATCGAAGGGCTGACATCCAATGAGTTGAGGGTTACCTTCTTAGACAAAGAACAAAGGGGCGTGGGGTAAACGAGTATAAATTATGACCCGAAATTGAACTAGGCAACTTAAAGCTTCTTTGCTCTTTTACGAAGAAGCCAGGCGAGGACTTAAAGGTGAGAATATATAAAAGACTTTTTTGACTGGCTTAAGTCATCTGCTGGCTTCTTCGTAAAGGCACAAAGGAACTTAGGGTCAAAATCGAACTAAGTCAACCCAAAACTCCTTTGTTTTTTTACGAAGAAGGCCGCCGATAACTTAAGCCAGTCAAAAACCTTTTATGTACGCTCACCTTAAATCATCAAACAAGTAAAAAAACACAAACATAATTTTTTTGTCGCAGGCTGTAGTACCAATTTCGAACTTCATCATCGGAATTTGAAACAATTCCGTTGAATAATATCATCAAAAACCGAATAAAGGGTGGTAACTTTATATTGGGGATATACAATATCGTGGATCTATATAGCCATTCTCTTCCTGGGGTAAAGTACTCAGAAGGAACACCTGGTGTGGAATTTCAAGCAATTCCATTGAAAAATGTGACAAAAATCATGAAAGTATCGAATATCGGGAGGTATCGATAGTTGTGGGGGATATAGGATATCGTGGACTTATATCGATAATACGCTTCCAGAACTCCTTGTGTAGAATTTCAGACAATTATATGAAAAAATGTAGCTAAAATCATCCAGTACCGATGTAGACCATCTTCGAACTTGACCTGCCTGCAGACAAAAGACTGATCTGTGTTAAATTTTGTGCTTCCTATCTTAATTAGTTTTGAATCCAGCGTAATTACAGCAGACGGACGGACATACATGGCTCAATCGTCTTGCTTTGTAGGGTCTAAAATTATTGTTTCGATGAGTTACAATCGGAATGACGAACTTTATTTATCCTCCATAATATGTATGGTGGAGGGTATAAAAAAAGCTACTTAGTCCTTCTATTTTCAAATTATATTAAATTATACCATCGATTCACTATTTCCAGACCATGCTATTCGAAATGAACCGCATTGGTATGTTAGTGGAGATCTCACATCTTTCGGAGGCTGGCATGATTGCAGCACTGAAAACAGCCAAGGCACCAGTTCTGATGATGAACGCCGCACCTGCATCCTTTTGCAATAGTACAAATGTAGCTTCCATACCCGATCGTGTTTTAAGGTTGGTACTACCGCTCCCCATTCAAAGAGTAACATTAATCTGTTTTCGCTCAACATTTCATTTCAGCCTACTTCCGGATAATGGCGGAGTTATAATGCTCAATTTGGAACGTTGTGGAGAACGTTTGCTGGGTGTGCGTGAGGCCATTAACGCAATCAATTTTGTTCGGAAGGTGGCCGGTGTCGATCACATCGGTCTGAGTGGGGCACCCAAAGGATATGCCTTTCTTTTGGCCGAGTTGGCACGCGACAGGGTGTGGGGTAATGCAGCCATCAAGAAACTGATTGGCGGCAATGTGGTGCGCATCCTGCGTGAGGTGGAAACTTTGAAAAATCGCCTGCCCCTTTACGAGGAGTGGATACCAAATGAATTGGTGGAGAGCAATTCGTATTGTCGCTATCCCGAATCGTAAATCGATCGGTAGTGAGAGGGCATTCTATTCGTTTTTTGATCTTGCTGCCTCCCCCTCCACCCTCATCTGTCTATTGAAGAGCACAAGTACACTCACACATGCGTACCGGTATTTTAAGTGATCTCTTTTTGTCTGCAAAGAGTGATAGATCGGCGGCCGTTCGGCCTGCAACACCTGTATTTAGCAATATTTTTAAACGATAAACCATATTTAAAGTTGTTATTTAGTTAATTCCTTTCAAATTGAAATTCTTATCGAAACCGTATTGAAAAATAAAAAAAGAAAAACAAAAATAAAAATAAAAATAAGACGAATTAAAAATAAACCACAAAACAAACAAAGAAAACAATAAAGAACCAATTTTCATTGTAACGTTCAAGAGTTTAAAATATTTTTATGTTATCGATTTATTTATAATAAAAGTAAAATATTTATAACAATTAGAAATGATGTATGTGTGTGTTATTGTTTTAAGTGGATAGAGTAATAAGGCGATACCAGTAGCACATGTTTCTGAATAAACCAAAGTAGAAATATCATATAGTCCTTAGGCCTATGACCATTTCAAGGTTTATTATACCATATACTACTATGGAGGGTATATTAAGTTCGTCAATCCGTTTGTAAATCAACGACCTAACAAAGTATATTCTTGATCAGCGTAATATTCTAGGCCGATTTATCCCTGTCCGTCCGTCCGTCTGTTTTAATCACGCTAGAGTCAAAACGAGTTAAGATAGGAAGCTAACATTTTGTCTGCAGGCAGGTCAAGTTCGAAGATGGCCTATATCGGCCCACGATATCATACATCCCCCATATAACTATGCCCCCCGATATTCGGTACTTTGATGATTGTAGCCAATTTTTTTAGTGCCTGTCTTGTCTGACAATTAACACAAGGAATTCCTTCTGAGTGCTTTATCCCCTGAAAGAGAAATGTCTATATAGATCCACGACATCGTATATCCCTCATATAACGGTACCTTCCGATATTTGGAAGTTTAATGATTTAAGTCACATTTTTCACTGGAATTGTCTACACACAAGGAGTTCTTTGTGAATACTTTATCCCCTGAAAGAGAATTGTCTATATAGATCCCCAATATCGTATATCGTCCAAACAACGGTATCCACCCACCCCCCACGATATTCCTTATTGCGATGATTTTAGGGACATTATTCACCGGAATTGTTTCAAATTTCGTATTTGAAGCTCGTAATGGGTACTACAATCTATGACGGAAAATTGTCTTTGTAGGCCCACGTCTTCGTATAGCCCCCATGTAACGTTTTTCCTTTGAGCGATATTTTTCGACGGATTTTTTGGAAATTTTTCAAATTTTTTCAAAATATTGAAGGTTATTTAAAGTTCGGCCTAGCGAAGTAAGCTGCTTTTTTACTTCTGTTTTAAAAAAAATTGACTCGCATTTGGACGAAATGGGATGGGATTTTCAATATTTGTAGAGATCCGAATACAAATTTCACATTTAAGCATTCAAAGTGTTGACCATTCGTGGGGGAGATACGAAAAAGAAAATTTCGATAGTGTATTTACTAAGTTTGGGTAAAAAGGGACATTGTATGAGATATATGTTTTCGTAAAGTTGAACATTTATGGGGGAGGTACCAGAAAGAGTGATTCTATTTTTACCAAGATTCTGATATTTGCAGAATGATTAAGACTAACGATATTTGAAAAAAACGTTGTATTGTTTCACGTTTTAGCTTCCTATGAAATTTTATATTTATACTTTGCAGGGTAGCCCTCTCCTGTTTTTAAAAACTCGAAATATTGTTCACAGACCCAATGTCCGTTTGTCTATGTGAGTCAATATTGTTCTTTTGAAATCAGACATAAGTCTCATTTTTATATACTACATTTCTACTACTATTCTGATGCTATATCTGTAGGCGATGTTGTAGTATACTTGGAAAAATCTGTTCAGCGGTTTTCGAGTCCATAAATTACAAACATACAAACATTTTCCTTTTTTATATCGTGAGGTATAACTGGTACCTCACGCAGATTTCAACATTTTCCTAAGTACTCCACTTAATCTAATACTGATAAAAATATTGGGATGTGCAATATGGGAAGATAATGGAACATGTATTTTCAATGTTATTTTTAGTAAAAATGTTAACCTTTTATGGGAGATGTATCAGAAGGAGTGGGCCGATAAATTCCATATCCACAGCAGATCTCTGATTGAGAGAAATTATTAAAAATATCAAATTTGAAAAGTATCACTGACTTGTTTTGCATGTTGTATAGAAAATTGTGCCCCGTTTTGGTTTATTATATTTTGCGATCATCTCCCTCGACAATGGGCATCTATTCTGACCCTAACTAAATTCAAAATTTCGTGACGATCGGGCCATAATTACGACTTTTACAAATTTATATGACAGATGGAAGACCGGACGCACATTGGTAGATCGGCTCGGCCCAGCTCGCCGAGACAGAAAGATCGAAATATAAAATAGTGGGTCTACGATCAATGCTCCGATGTATTACAAACTTATTGGCCCAATCAAACTTGTGATACCTCCAACACATAGTGTTGTATAAATGTAGAACCAGATAAAGGAAATTCTGCGTTAGCACTCCAATATGTCATAGATGTGTATGTGTATTTGTAAAAAATAAATATTTTTAACAAATAATTGTCGACAATATCAACAAATATATGTTAATGGTGTTTTTTTTTTCGAGAATTGACTTCAGTTTGAGAACATTTAATATTCACTACCTTCCTAACGTCCTCCAAATGACTACAGATATTTACAAACAAGAAATAATGCGCTCACATAACTCCCCCCAATATTCGGAGATAATTGCACTCTGGTGGCGCATAATCTTTTCATAACTCCACGCCAAATAACATGGCATAGAGGAAGAAAATAGCATTCAAATCCGATAAGAAGAAACAGTATCCCGCTCAACAGCATTGCGAAAGGGATTGGCTCCTTATGGCGTGAATAAATGAAATGAAAACAATTGCATTAAATCTGCGAATCGTTGTAATTCCACGACGAATGAAGTTACATTCCAAGCGGAGAAGTCCTTGTTTCCTTGTTATTTTTTTTGTTGTAACCCAACCAGTGGGAAGGAAAAGATGCCTCGGATTAAATATTCTTATTTGTGTTTGTCCAACAGCGAAGTGAGTGTCAGTCCCACAATTATGGCAGTCGGCGAAAAAGGGGACGGCAATGTTTATACTGGGGTCAGAATTATGGTCAGGTTACCTGGAGCGTGTTTGCAAAGATTGCTGAAGAGATTTAACAACTTTTGCATTATTTATTAAAAGTATGAATATGAATTGTGTTGGCAATAAAGTAAAACAAAAGGTTTAAATGTAATCACAACAACAGGGTGTTCGGTTAGCGACGTGATGGCGGGTTCATTGAATGTTTGTAAAACGTGCAACTTAGAATATTCTTTTTTTTTTCTTTTCGGAAAGAATTATAGGTAAATGTTTTTCTTTTGCACCAAAAAAATTTTCATTTTGAAATTTACAGAGGAGAATATTAGTTCTTTTTGCACAGTGAAAGTACGAATTTTCAAAACAATCTAGAGCTCAGATAGCAACAGTGACCTTAATATCTAAATTCAGGATTTCAGTTCTATTATGGTCCGTATATTCAAAACCAACTCCTTCTCTCAACCACAGACACCAACAGTGGCATCCATATCAAATTCCAGGATTCCAGCTCTATCTCTTCTCCCAATACCAGATTTAGTACCTTTTCGTACAAATATAGGTCGTACTTCCACACCAACTCCAAATCTCAAACACGGATGCCATCGGTAATCTAAACACCAAATTTGAGATTTCCATCTTTATCCCAACACCTCCCTCTCTCAATTACAGATACCAACAGTAACGTCCATATCAAATTTCACAATATCAGCTATACACCCAATACCAAATTTAATATCATCTAGTTCTTTTCGTGCAGTTAAAGCAATTTCCATATCTCAAGCTCAGATAGCCACAGCGACCTTTCTCTTTTAACCATAGACACCAAGAGTGGCATACATATCAAATTCCAGGTTTCTAGCTCTATCCCTTCTCCCAATACCAAATTCAGTACCTTTTCGTACTTATCGTACGCATTTCCACACCAACCCCAAATCTCAAACACAGAGACCATTGATAATCTAAACATTATATTGTAGAAATTTATCTCTATCTAAATTTAGTAACATTCAGTACTTTTTGTACAGTTATAGCACACATTTCCCAAACAGCCTTCATATGTCCAAGCTACAAATGACAAATTTCAAGCAATACCAAATTGTTCTATATTCAGTACTATTTAGTACTTTTCGTGCACTTGGAGTACATATATTCCAAACCACCTTAATACTCGAACCTACCTCCAAAACAGGGGGAGAGGATTTAGAAGTTGCCTCAATACAAAATTTCAAAATTCCAGCTTCATCCGTTCACACTAAAAAACCATTCCAAATTTAGTACTATTAAGTACACTTCACACAGTTAGTACACATTTCCATAAGCATATTCGTATATCAAATTTACTTTCCATCATTGGTTCTCATAAAAAAATTCAAGTCTTTAGTTTTAGCCGTTCACATAATACCGAATGGTACCAGTTTAGAAGTATAGTACAATTTAAGAACTTACCATTCTCGGTGCATCACAATTCCAATTTGTACCAAATTTAGTAGTACCATTTAGTACACATAAGTATGTATTTCCAGAGTTTCCTACATTCACCAATCCTACACTCCGACAGTAATACCAATTCTAAATTTTTGGATTCCAACCCTATTGGTTCGCCCAAAAATTTTACTCTATTTAGTACATTTTAATACATATAAGTACACAATTCCAAAATTACCTACATATTCCAATTCTACACTCCGAGAGTAATCTTATTTCCAATTTTCAGGATATTAGCTCTATTGATTCACCCAAATCGAAATATCATTTAGTACACTTCAGTACACATTTTTATAACTACCTACATTATACAGACCAACAAAAATCTTATTTCACCCCAAATTATTAAATTATACCAAATTTTTTGTGCCATTTAGTACACATAAGTACGTATTTCTAAAACCTTCTAAATACCTCTGTCCTATAATGCAATAGTAATCTTATTTCCAAATTTCGAATTTCAACTCTATTGTTTCTCCCAACATTTAAATTGTACCAGATTTAGCATTATTTAGTACAAATAAGTACGAATTTCTAAAACTATCTACATTTCTCAGACCTAGAATTAAATTTTAATATTTCTAACTTTCAAAATTCCAGCTCTATCGGTTTACCCAAATCGACACTGTACCAAATTTAGTACTTTTTAGTACTTTGGTATAAATTTCGAAAATCTCCTCCATATCACAATCCTATATTACG